GGACGTGAGAGCCGATACAATCACACCGAGGACCATAGCACTAGCGAACTCACAAGAACAGGTTTACCCAAGCTGAATCAATAAACTAAAATGTATATGTAATGTATAAAGGGTTTAACGTCCTTAGCTGGCTTAATAGATAACCAGCTAAGCTACCAAGCCAGAGGTTCAGCCAACACCTGTCGAACCCGAGACATCGTAGTAGAATAATACCGGGCCTCGACTATATGGGTACATTGCGATGTCCGATGTTGAGAGACCTTCTCTAGATCACATATACTATTTCCGACAGCTGACGCCGTTCTCAGTTCAACACACGACTACGACTCGTAAGATTGCTCTACCGTATATTAGATAACTATTTCTCTTTTTAGAGAAGTCATGCTGCCCACGACTCCAAACACACACGGATACACGGACTAGAGATTGACCTAAGAGGCTCTTGCGCTACGGCAGTGACTATGAGCTAACTAATCGTGTAGCCTCTAGTGGTTGTAGCTAGCACCGGAGTGGACACAAGTTGATGTTAGCTGACAGTGAGGCATGGTACCTGTCCATCAAAAGTGCCACTGACCTAATTTATGCAAAAAACTTAAGACCTAATACTTCACCCCCTCCAGGGTCGTGTTAGAAAACAATTCACTCAGCAGATTCATAACATAAAGGTGGAATCTATGAAACTAAATCCGATAATAGATTCATTTTATTGCATCCATTGGGTAAGCCAACCGAAAGCTGCTGTAAACGTTGGGCGCGCACTGTGTTAGCCTTCACATAGGGCGGTCTACAGAAATAGTCGCATTCCATATTCTGCAGCTCTACGTCCCTAGCGGCTGCCGGAGAACAGTACACCGGCGAACCTAAATCGATAATACTATCTTATCGTGCATCCATCGCAGAATGACTGCTTGTAAAGTTTGTGGTCATTTCTTAACATGGAGTCTATGGAAAATTGCGCCTTTCTGCAGTCAGACCTACCGGCATGTATGCACTGCAGTGTGTGCACTTCTCGTATTGCCGTCCGGCTGTTGCCCGAGTCTCTGCCGCTTCGTAAGAATGTGGGAATCAAGCAGGACGTCGACTCTGAGACCTCTCCGCTCACACAGGGTTCAGAACATAGGGACGGGCAGAGCAGGTGGTTCTGGAACACGAGCACGCGTTTATTAACCTCCAAACAAAAATAGTACGCGGGTCTCAAACGTTTGCCGGGGGGGGGGTGGGAACCTTCACGGTCCTTTGGCGACACTTCCATGCCCTTCGACGGATCCCGCCTACTGCGAAAACAGACCCAGAACCCAGGTTACCGACATGCTTTTATTCCGGCACTGATTACCTTGATTCCGATCAGCTGTCTGGCCCTCCGGCTTGAGCCACTCCTTCACTCCAGCAGCCAGCGCACCAAACCACAGCCCGCTGCCACAGTGACGTTGTTGCGATTGCGCGTTGCAGGCAACACGCTTCGGTTTTTGTTAATTAATGTTCTTGGTCCCCTCCTCACTTTCTCCTTGTACACAAACTCGCTCGGATCTGTCCATTAGCCCCGCATGGTTTTTCATACCACTGCTACCGCTGACGACACCCAAATAATTCTGACTTTCCCGCTCAGAGAACCCAGGTCGTCGCAACGCATCTCCTGCTTGCCTAGCAGACTCTCTCAGTGGATGTCTGTTCAATCACCTCAAAGTTCAACCCTTCGACAAGACTGAACTGCTCTTTTCCCTTCCGGGAAACAAGATTTGTCCCACTCTTGACCTTACAATCAACATTGGCACCCTCTGGTTGGTTTCCCCGACTCAGATTGCCCAGGACTCTGGGTGTCGGATCCTAGATAACAAACTGTCCTTCATGCAAACATCGGCTGCTAACAACCGCCTGCTGCTGCAGATACACGCTTTACAACATCAGGAGGATACGTCCAGCCGCTGACCAGAAAACAGCGCACAGGTTCTGGTCCAGGCTTCCTCAGATAATCACACGCCATAGACTCTAGCGACTACTGTTCCTCCTGGCTGGTCTACTGCATGTGGCATCCGAACTCTGCAGCTCATCCAGAATGCAGTCTGGTCTCTTCAACCTTCCTAAATGTTGCCACACCCCACTCCGCTCCCTTCACTGGGCTTCCAGTAACTGCTAGAATCCACTGTCAAGATACTGGTACACTTCCGTACCATGCTGTGGAATGGATCTTGGCCCTCCTACATCCAGGACAATGGGTTAAACTGTACACTCTCCCAGCACGGTGCCTCCGCTCTTGCATCAGCCAAACAAGCTCGCTGCACCCGCACTGCGAGGGGGACCCAAGTTCCCATCAGCAAAAACACAGTGGGTTTGCTATCCTGGTCCAAAATGGTGCGACATGAGCTTCCCCATTGACATCAGGAACAGAGAAACAGCTTGCACATTTTCTTCCCGGCGCAGACTGAAAACTCATCTCTTTCGACTCCCACTTCGAGCGATAAGAAATTACTAACAACAAAGCACTTACTATACTAATAAAGGGAACTGGCTTATCTAAAAGCCAGTTGAGTAGCACTTGAAATGGTTTGGATCATGAAAACCTGATGTACTTATATGATTCCTGTTTTCTTCAAAGGTTGGTATCTTTCCCTGGTCGAAGCATGTACTTATTGTAAGTCGCTTTGGATAAAAGCGTCAGCTAAAATGCAATGTAATGTAATGTTATGTAATTTACAAACTCTTCAACTAGAACCGTAGTTATAGAAGGAATCTGTGTATGACCAGTGCTTGAATTGGGCCGGTACTCACCGGTACGCAGTCCCGGCACTTCTGATTTTACCCTTGTACTCAGCCGCCGGCAGCCTTCGGCACGTCATGACGCATGTCAACAAATATGCCGGCGACATCTCATGACGCATCTCATGACGCATCTCTGACGCACCGCCGCGATAGACTAGATCAGAAAATAAATCACATAACGACGACGTTAGCATTTAAAAAATGTTAGCGTGGCTTATTAGTCCGAAAAGACAGCGGTTGTCGCCGGACAAGGACCCGACTGCAAATACAGAAAATGCTGTGCCTGTGTCTGAAATTGTGCCTTCTCTCGTCGACCCTCCTGCTCCAAGTTCAGTAGCACTAGCTCCAACAGAGCCTTCTCTCCCGCTAACGTTAGCTGCTGCAGGCGCAACTACCACCAACAACACCGGGCAAAGCGATGCACCTGACTGCTGGACAAGGGACCAGGTGGACTATTTTTGCAAGACCAATGAATGGCTCATTGTTAGAGACAAAAAGCTGGGATGTCGGATATGTAAAGAGGTGAAATATTTGGGAAAACACACTGGACAAGGACTGAAACTCTCGATTTTTTATTTTATTGTCTTATTTTAACAGTGATCGTATGATTCCTTCCGATATTATTGCAGATCTGCTGCAAGCTAGCTATCTCATGTAGCTAACTTAGCCATTTAAAGTATACTGACAAAACACTTAAAATCATCATCAAACAGATTAACTCTGCCAACAGTGACCATTAGAAAACTTTATAATCCTTTTATTTTATAGGCCGTTGTGACGCGTTTGCACCTGTCGGCCACCATACAATATCCTACTGACCAAACAAGCAACATGCTGATGATTTACATATTCTTAAACCAATACCCCAAGAACAGCTCTCTGCTGTGAAGTGATTTTTGGTAGCAGACACAGTTTGGATTGCAGGTCAAATGAAGCCAACACAAGGCCAGAGAACGTAGCTAAAGAACAGGTCAGTTAGGCTACTCTTCAGGATCTTGGTTACTAAATTATACAAATGTTTCTTTCTGACGTAGAAATGTGCTGGAGCACCAGTCCAAGTGTGAAAAACAAGCTGAACGTTTCGATCACATTATCGAATTGTTTCTGTTTCTGGAAAAATCAATCCCTGAACCCCCAGTGAATGGAAGTCAATTTGAATGTGCAGCAGTGCAGAGTATATGGTTACAGTTCGGCTGAAGGACAAAGACGGAGGACAGAGGAGGCAGGACATTGTGGAATGTTTTAGTTTGATAGAACAGATAGATAGAAAGTGGAAGAGCAGAAACAAATGTTCTAAGGAACGGACAACGAATAAAAACCTGAATCTGATGAAAAAAGAATCTGATATGTTTTAATTAAACTCTAAAGAGATAACTGACTGACACGAGCAGTCTAACAAGAGGAAACACTACAGCCCTGTAAAAGTAAATCACATCTTGTTTAATGCGTTTTTGTGATAAAGCATTTACAGTTTGTCTGAGGAACCATCATAAATGTTATGTATTCTTTTTTGTAACTTGAGCTAATGAAAAATGATTCTCACTGGAAATAACGTCACACACGCCCACCAATCACCTCCTGTGTTTCTCCTGGAGCTTTCATAAACGGCACCGACACAAAAGTTTCACTCTGCATCAGTGCACCAACATTTCAACGTCATTCCAAGTCCAGTTACTTGTTTCTCAGTGAGTTTCTCCAGGACTGTCCCACCATGCGTCTCCAGTTCTTCCTCTGCGTAACAGCCCTATTCGTCTGCCCGGGTCTCATCCTCGGGTCTCGGATAGCCAAACGCTTCGCCATCGGCTGCACGGAGAAATGTGACAAGTCGCAGTGTGCGCCAATCCTCGCGGACTGTTTGGCCGGAGATGTGCTGGACCGCTGCGACTGCTGCCCGGTGTGTGTGTCCGGAGAGGGCGAGCTGTGCGGCGGCGACGGAGACCGGGAGTGCGCCGAGGGGATGGAGTGTGTGGTGACCGAAGGCGTGGAGGTGTCCTCCACCGTCAGGCGCAGGGGCAAGCCCGGGGTGTGCATGTGCACCGTGTCCGATCCGGTGTGCGGCAGTGACGGCGTCTCGTACAGGAACATCTGCGAGCTGAAGCGCGTCAGCAACCGGGCCATGAAGCTGCAGCAGCCGCCGGTCATCTTCATCCAGAGAGGAACCTGCGGGAAAGGTGTGTGTGTGTGTGTGTGTGTGTGTGTGTGTGTGTGTGTGTGTGTGTGTGTGTGTGTGTGTGTGTGTGTGTGTGTGTGTGTGTGTGTGTGTGTGTGTGTGTGTGTGCGCACATGCTGTAATCACTTGTGTTTGAGCTCTAATTGATACTCAACAGAGCTGCTCTGTATCCAATCTCATTATAACACTCACTGACCTGGACTGTTATTTTGTGTGTGTGTGCGTGTTTTAGTGTGTGTGTGTGTGTGTGTGTGTGTGTGTGTGTGTGTGTGTGTGTGTGTGTGTGTGTGTGTGTGTGTGTGTGTGTGTGCATGTTTTAGTGAGTGAGTGTGTGTGTGTGTTTGTGCATGTTTTAGTGAGTGTGTGTGTGGATGCGACAAGAAGTGTCTAGGAAATAAGATTTCAAACTGGAATTACCTCCATGGCCAGCTGCAAAGCCTGATGTGTGTGTGGGTACGGAGGAGAGGGTCGATGCATGCTGGTTGCCACGGCATTATGGATCTTCAGCGCTGACTGGAAGTCAGACTACAGTAGGAGAAAGACAAGAGCAGCTTCTGTTATATTCTTCTCAACTGGAGCTCACATGTCATCTTCTCACATCACCATACCTGTATTCACATGGTTTAAAACTGAAATCAAACTTTTCCATTTGCTGCTTTCAAACTGACAGTGTTAACTTGCGCTTGTTTTGGTCATTTCAGTTCATTTACAGTTCTTTTGAAAAAAAACAGGGTTGAGTTGGACAACCAACAATGTAAGGCTGGGGGATATATATAATATTCTCAATGTATTTTAATTGAATACTATGTTCCTTCACTTTAATGTACTAGATGATATTTCTTATTTCCTCAAAAAAGGTTCCAGGAAATGTCCGAGCAGCCACAAAGGGATATTCAATGCTTTTAAGATTCTTACAAATGGTTCTAGAAACAGTGACATCTTTATTTGCTGTGGGCTTCACTGTGGACTGAGGCACATGAACACCTTCAATGACTTGTAGACAGATGTGTCAAAGAGAAAGCCAAAGAGGAGGTGGTTTCTGCAAACTCTTTACATTTATAAGACTTTGGGCTTAAAAAATATCCAATGCAAGAATATTTAATACTGGCATACTAGAGTGCCTCTCAGTAGCTTCCATTCAAAAGCCCTCCTCCATATATTGAAGCCTTCATTTGAACTTGTGGCATCTGGTGAGGCCCCAGTTGTCATGGAGGCTCAGACAGCACTGCTTTGTCTTTGTAAATCTTTTTTAGCCAGAAAGTCTTGAAAAATACCTACATTTCATATTGACTCTGAAGCTCTCTCAATCTAATGCTCCTTCTATTACCTTGTTTAGTAGTGCAAGAACATGCTCGATGTCGCTCTGACTCTGCTGGTCGGACAAGCATCCTCGAATCTGCTTCAGGGACAGCAGCAGCTCCTCCAACTCTGCAATAAGAAAACATGCACTGTTTCATAACTTGATGCACTGGCCCAACATTGGCAGTGGCCACCACCTTCATAGAAGGGGGAAGAATATCATTGCTTTTGTGTTGACAAAAAAAAAAATGCTGCGCAGTCTCTGGTCATTTTTTTGTCCATGGCTTTATCAAAGCACAAACTTGTTTTGTATATTTATTATTTAACGGTTTAATTAAATTAATGGGAACTTTATAAGGTTTTTAAAGTTATTTTTAGGAATTTGGGCTCATTCAAAGTTTTCCTAGCACAAAAGGAGAATAACCAACGACAAAATAATATAAAAAGATCTGCATTGGTGTCAGCATCGGCCACATTTTTTAAAATTGCTATTTTAAACATCGGTATTGGCCTTGGCTGAGACATTTGACAGCGGTATATCTCTTTTGATAACATTTCACTTCCACAAATCAACCCACAGAAAAGAGAAGACCAGAAAGGGGCTTGAAATGAGAGATGTACTTTCCTGTCAGGTGACGGCTTGCTTTTCCTGGCTTCAGATTGAGGTATGTAAGAGCTGCATCTAATTCCTTAAGTAAAGGCGCTACTGTGTGCGTGTCAACATTGCCACCCCTCACAACGTTTAATTAAGTCACCCTCAAGAGCCTCTCATGTCCTTCTCTCCCTCCCTGAGGAATTCCCTCCCTAGCAGCAGTCATGCCTTCCTTACATTCCTCTCCCTCCCTGCCAGCTTTCTGCAGAAATTTGATTTCTACCGTACACTGTAACTTTTTATTCTTGTCTTTTCATTTCTTTCTCTTTCATCCATTATGTGTGAGTGTGGGTTTTACCTAGCAGTGCGTGTGTGTGCTGGATGTTGAGAGCTGGCTGCTGCGGTGTGTTTGAATCCTCCAGGAATGTGGGGTTGTCGATGCCGATGTGGGGATGCTGGGAGAGCTTCCTGAGCCTGATGGAGGAGTTCAGGTCCAGCTGCCGACCCTCCTCCTCTCTGCGGCGACGCAGATCCTCCTGGCACACACACGGAAGAATAAATGCACCGTCAATAGAAATACAATTAAACAACAAAGCATAACAGCCTCTGTTACCACTGTCGCCTTCCTTGTCGTCTTAAGTGTGTTAACCTGTGTTGTATGTAAATGAGCTGTGCGGTTGCCCTGACGTGATTGGCTGCCATCTCCTGGTCCGCCTCCTGAAGATTGTGATTGGAGCACGCCGGGCCCGACGCACTCCAATCGCAGCGCACAGCCGGCGCACACCTGCTGGAGATGACTACAAAAAGTAGGGGAACCAAGTAGACACTAAAACACAGGGGAATAAATATTTACAAGAAAAAATAACAGAAATTAAAAATAGACAAAAAAATTAACATAAAATAAGGATAGATAAAATTGAGAAAAGAAATTCAAGTAAACAACGTAAAGTAAATGATGTACGTAAGATATACAATAATATATAACAAATTGGAGAAATAAAGAATAACATATTCAGTATAAGACCACATTTTCGTTTCGAAAAAAAAATAATATTAAAACCTAAATTATTACTGAAGAAACGAAAGTAGATAGTGTCGACGTCCATAGTACAAATAAAACGAGACAAACGACTCGACGAAAGAGGATCTAAAGTGACTATAAATCTTTTGAATGGGTTCGTTCGGGACATTAAGGTTTTGAGTGTCTACTGTTGAGAGGGTTAAGAACTAGCACGGTAACAGCACCTCTCCCTCTCCCTCCCCTAACACCCTCCAATTCACTTACTCTCGACTCCCCTTCCCTGTCGTATCCCTCTAACGCGACACCCTGACAGGTCCATCTATCAGAACACCACTCAGACTTGTGAATGGCCAAGCAAATTCTAGACGTGTCGACCTCATCACTATTTACAAAGCTAGTCTGGTCCATTAGTCAGTGATTGTCTGTATAAAAAAAAAAAACAAGTGTACAGTAGTGATAGATAAAAACATAAAACAAGATGTGTGTGATATGTGTGTAATATAAGAAAGTGTGCTAAATGAAAGTAGCCATGAGACGTGAAATATACTCACTATAAGTAACACTAAAAAAACAGTCCGAATAGAGATTTATCAATTCATTAAATAATGTACCTAAATCCATATACTTATATCACGGAATTCGTTAATAGTGCTAGTGTTAAAGACTGATAAGTGCAAAAACTAAGTCGTCCTTTTAGAGATGCATTATAGGCTGGTGAAAAAACAACTTAGTAATCCTAAACGTTAACGTTCTCCATGAAATCACAGATATATATCCAATAAATGATGTTCAGGTGGATGCCGATTCGATTTCCACCGATTACAATAAACCACACTAAAACACACAGTTTACGAGGGAAACGAGTGAAACAACCAGTTGGTGGAAAAATAAATCGTGTATCTTCAAGTCTGTAAGAGTTCACCCGTATAAAATACTAACGTATTTTGGTTTTGATATGACCATGGAATTTTGTTACTGAAAGCCCAAGGAAAATTAAATTAATAAAGCTAGCTAAAAACGGCTAAACTAATACTAGTCAACATAAAACTAATGTAAAAAAATTGTGACAGGTACGAGTCATGAAAACAAAAACTAGGACATGTATTCTACATTTCGGAAACGACCTCATGTATCGCAAAAATCACTATAATCCGTTATATTTTGTTGTAAACTAGCTAAAAACTTTAGTGTAAAAAAAAATAACTAATAATTCTCAGTTTCTCTAGATAATTAGGTATGTACAATGATTGGTATCCTTGTGACGTTTCTCATTTTTGTTAAATCCTAATTTTGATAGGTGTTTACGGACCCTCTTAAAGTAACAAAAAAACCTAAGACGTGAAAATTTGAGCTTGTATTGCATAATATCAGCCTTCTTTTAAACTTGCTTTACGGGGAATAACAAACAATGAGTTGTACTCCGACAATGCAGGGCTGATCTCCTTTCTTTCCTTTCGTGTTATGTGGTCACCTAACCATATTTATATTTCCAAATTAAAATATATGCGTTCTCATTTGTTTCACCGTCCGTACGTCGGACCTTGTTTGTTTTTTCAGGTTTTCCCGTGTACAAGTATTTATTGTGGTGTTCCTCCCTGGAGATTTTTCCTCAGATCAACGTATGTTACCTTATTTGTAGTGATGTGATTTATTCTTTACTTTGTTTGGAGTGAAATTTTTCACCATGTTGGATTGTTTTCAGACCATTGTTTCTGTGTCGATTTGATTTCCGTTGTCAGTGTTTTAGGATTTAATGAGATTTGTGATTAATTCGATGAGATTGATTCGATGAGACTGTGATGATTAGTGTGTTCAAATTAGTGTCAAGTTGTATTAAAGGTTCCTCGGTTCATCGCTCTCGCAGACAAGGTGTACAGTCTCGGAGGTTCTCTCACTACTAAA